GGGCCAGAGGCAGATGTCAGGAGGGCATGGCTGAGGCCATTGGCCCTCCCTGCCCTGGCTTGGGAGCCTGGGGCACTTATGGACGTGGCCTGGTGGTCATAGCTGGGCTGGATGTGGACATTGGGGGAGCTTGGCTGAGGCCTTCATTTCCCCCCCCCCCACCCCCTGCCCAGCTTGGGAGCCTGGGGGGCTTCTGGTCTTTCTAAGTTTTATATGCGTTCTTTGGTGGTGTTAGATCTTTACTGGTTAATATCAGAACTTTGTCCTGATCTAGGTTTTTTTTTGTTTTTTCTTTCAATTCTATGTTGGATTATTTGCTATTCCCACCACTTAAACTCTGCACTGGAACTAATTTGTTGTCCTTTGCTAATTTCTAAAATAGGGGAACTTCCTGTGGGAACCAGAACTTGAGCCCTGGGATAGAGCTAAATTGCTGCTTTGCTGCTGATTCCATGGGGAAGGCTCAGGTTTTAATTGTAGACCTCATAAGCACTTCTGGATCTTGTGAGGTCCAGTACACCTGGGTTGTGTGGAAATTCTGACCCGGGCCTGAGTCTTTTCAGCAAACTGCACCCCTGCAGTTCTATATTCCTGACCAGTCTCCAGTTAGTGGTCCTGTGCTGACTGGAGGGCAGACCAGCTGTCCATACTGTGCCCCAGTGTTATTCCAGTGGGCCTGTCTCCCTCATCCCCTGCACTCCAAACACTTTCCATGGGACGGGCCATGCGCTGGTCCCTCGCGATGACTCACCGGCCTTTGAGTGGCTCCTTTTTTCAACTGTCTATGGCCCCTCACTCCTATGTGGGTCCACGGGAACCCTATCAGTGGTCTTGCTGGCCTGGGGGCTGCCAATGCCCTCTTCTCCCCTGCAGCCTCTAAGAACGTCATACGAAGGGCACAGCTGCAGCTTTTGTCAGTTCTTGCTCCATGTGCTCACCAGGGCCAGCCTTGAAGTGGTCAGGGATTAAAACAGTTGGGGCAGTCATTTCTTTCTCTCATTGTGGCTTCTGCTGCCTTCACAAACTTTGTCACTCCTCCTCTTCCTCTTTAGTGGCCCCAGCTTGACAGTCACTGTTTTTAATAGTTGTAAATTGGTTGATTGTGGGAGAGGGTGATGCTGGGTACCATGTATTCTGCTATCTTGATCAGAAGTTCTATGGTGTCTTTTGATAAACAAAAATTTTATATTTTATCAATCAAATTTATCAATCTTTTTCTTTATGCTTAGCACTTTGTCCCTTAAGCCATTTTTCCTCAGAGATACTCATTCTTTGGATTAGTCTGTTTTCTGTTGCTTATAACAGAATAACTGAAACTGGGCAATGTATAAAGAAAAGAGGCTTATTTCATATAGTTTTGGAGGCTGGGAAGACCAAGGTCAAGGGGTGCATCTGGTGGAGGGCCTTCTTCCTGGTAGGGCTCTTTGCAAGTCCCAAGGCAGTACAGGGAGTCTCGTGATGAGGTTGGGCAAAAGCTTGTTAAAGTGCTCACTTGCTCTCCTCATAAGGCTGCTAGTGCCACACCCATGATAAACCACTCATCCATTAACCCATAACCCATGAATGGATTAATCCACTCACGAGGGCATAGCCATCATGGTCCAATCACCTCTTAAAGGCCCAACCTTTCAAATACCATATTGGAGATTAAGCTCCAACATGAGCTTGTGGAGACATTCAAACCATAGCATTCCTCTACATTTCCTTCTAAAAATTCTAATGTTTTGCTTTTCACATTTGTGTTTTTTCTATTAAAATTATATATGTACCTATTTTAAAGAGTCAGAGTTCTATGAATTTTTTATGCAAAAGAGCAGCCCCTAAACGTCCCAGCACATTCTTGCCTGCACCTCTTTAACAGGCGTGTGTGGCTCCTTCTTGATTGCTCAGTTTTAGCTTCTGTTGCCTAGCTGCCACGCCACAGGGGTTGAAAAGTCCCTACCATACATGCATATGCACGCACCCTTCCCTGTTCCCTGCTTCCCAATGTGGTTAGATAGCCATTTGGGATACACCAATATCTGTGTTTAAGATAAGCTACACAGTAAAACTATGACTAGTCATCCTTTCCTGCAGGTTTTTGCTTTGGATCTTTTTCCTTGGAATTGATCATTGATTTCTTTGTTGTTGCTCCGTTTTCTATGTATTTATCACTTTTCAACTCCAAACTCTATCAGATGTCTAAATGTCTCTTCATAACATTCAGATGCCTCAGGTAACCTATCAGTTAATTTCCCTGGTCTTTCCAAGAGCCTCTGGACTCTAATCTGGATTGATCACTCTCTGTGTGCCATTCAACACATTTTTACTGAAACAATCATGTGCTACACATTGTGCTAGGCCCTGGTGAAACAAAGGGAACAAATAAGTCATAATTATTGCCTCCCTGGAACTTACTAACTAATGGGAGATTCAGGAAAAAAACACAAGAAACTCTGTAGCAATGAGTATTTTAGTCCTAGTTATTTTCTGGGCTTTTCAGTTGACACAGGATGTCTATGACTCTTGCCTGTCATAGGATGCCACAAGTGTGTCTCCTGAGTATGAGAGGGTGGTTTCCCAGTTTCCTGCCTGGCCAAGGCTCTCAGCCTCTAAGTTGGGGACCAACAGTAAGAACTTACTGAAGCAAGGGCAATGAAGATGAGCCAACAGTGCTCCCCTAGAGGCTAACGATGTTGGCTTTAAATTTTGATACTATTTTGTTTTGCACCTCCCACCCCCTGGCCCAAGTATTTAGTGAGAAATTGTGGAAGCAAGGCTTTACAGCCAATAAAAATAAGAGTAACATCATACATTAAAATCACCCAGCTCCCAACTGGATAAAGATGTCACCAGTTTAGCTTGGCCAAACTTTCTAATGACTGGCCAGAACAATCATTTGGGACACAAAATGCATTGTAATTTATAGTTAAAACACTGTGCCTTCTTATGCACTCCCTCACCTGGTGGTCTTTGCTGGGGGTGTGTAACAGAAGCTGCCCTCAGGGAAGAGAAGTGACTGAGGAGGCTGGAGTCTACCCTCCAGAAGAAAAGAGGGCAGTGGGTTCTCACCAAGCCTAGGCAGAGACAATTCAAGAGTGAATCCCACCACCACTCAATCAGGGGTAATGGTCCAGCCTCAGCCTGGGCTTTTTGCACCTGTGTAAGAACGAAAACAAGGCTCAAGGTCTTGCCAGGCATGGGGAGAAAACACCTTCTGAGCAAGGTCCTGGTGTGGGATATGTGTGTAGCTTGTGGAGGGGGGCAAAGAGCAACCTGATGGCCTCAGGAGAGGTAACATGAGGTGGTGACTCTGTGGCTTCTGCCAGGCGCTCAGTGTGGACCAATGTGTGCAGAGTGGGCGAACCATCCTGAGCTCTGGGGGCAGAATAGATTGTGGAAGAGGTGCTAGGATTGCCTGTGAGGATTCTCCAGGCAGCACTCAGCCACAGGTCTCTTTGCACAGGAGGAGCAGGAAGACTGCAGTTGTGAGAACTCTCAGCCACCCAGCCCCTGCTCCCTGCCATTCTGCGCTTTGACTTTACACCCTGACCATGCTTCTGGCTGGTAGCAAGGGGAAGACTGTTAAAATATGAATGCAAGTCTGTAGATTTCCTGTTTAAACGAACCTAGTGGTGATACTAACAGGTTCCCCCAGTGCACCTGTAGTAGCATTCCTGAGAAGGTGTTTTCTGGCTGGGGCTGGGAGGAGTTGGCTGCCAGCTGCCACCTGGGGCTTCCTAAACCCCGAACCTAACTGCACTGGGAAGGTGTCTTGACTGACACAGCCTTGGGCCTAAAGAGAATCATACTCATCATTTCTAATCAGACTCCATCCACCCTGCCCTGGTTTCCTTACAGACCCACGTTTTGAGACAACTATTACTTTCTGTGTGTCACAAGAAAGCAATAGTTTCGGGCCGGCCCGGTGGCGCACTGCTGTAGTGCGCCGCTTGGGAAGTGCGGCGGCGCTCCCTCCGAGGGTTCGGATCCCACATACAGACCGGTTCCCGCTCACTGGCTGAGCGAGGCGCGGGAGCAGCGCCGAGGGTTGCGATCCCGTTGCCGGTCCTAGTCCGGTACGGGGGCAACACTGAGGGTTGCGATCCGTTGCCGGACACGGAAAAAGACAAAAAGGAAAAAAAAAAAAAAAAGAAAGCAATACTTTCTTTATGTGTCACAAGACACATAAATAGTCACAGCATTTGACAGCTGAAAGGGGGTTTAATAGGTATTAATCCTCTAATTTTAGAGGTAAACTGGCCCAAAGTTAATTACCTTGCCCAGCAAGAAAGGGAAGAAGCAGGAGTCAACCTCACACACCTGAATCCTAATCGTGTCCTTCTGGGTTTGAAAGGGGGCCTGGGTGGCACATCTGAAAGCTCTGAATGGGCTTGGGGGCAGGGCCTGCTCTTTGATACAGGCCTCTCAGGAAGACTTCTGGGGAGGTGACTGCTGGGGGGGGGGGGCGCTGAACTTACAGTGAGGTTGCTTAGCACTTTCCAGGCCACAGGGAAAGAAAATCCTGTTATACTCTGATCCAGCACTGGATTAAGTGCTTTCCATGCATTACCTCATTTATTAACTCATCTTTTTCAGAGTTGTTCTCTAAGTTATAAATGTTGGTTTCATGTGTGATGATGACTGGTCTGAGGCATCAATCCTAAAAACAAGAGTGTGGGTGGAAGAAAATCCACCAAAGGAGGCTGGTGGCCTTTCTTCCCAGCTTTCAAAGCCAGTCCCTGGGGCAGCTGTAGTGAGGCTGAGACAAGGCTCTGGACCCAAGGTGCCCATGTCTGCCAGGAGTCTCTGGGCACATCTCATGGGTACTTAACCAGACACTCTCTCCACAAAGCCCTCAACAGGTCTCTCACCATGTTGCATTTTGTTTTTAAAAGATGGGCCACGTTTCCTTCTAAGAGCCCATTTTCCTCAATTGATGTATCTAGACACTCAGAGGAGACACTGCACAGCTCGCTGCCCCTCTCCAGGTAGGAAACAAATGACCCTCTACTGCTTGCTTTGCTATGAGTAAATCAAAAGTTATTTATTGTCTAAAAGTATAAAAACACATACAAAAAAGGGAATCATTCTTGGCTAGAATTAAGAGATAATATCATTGCATCACACAGCCCTGGGGGCAGTTATTTCCAAACCATATGTAATTTTAATCTCCACTGTGCCCTAGACTCTTTAGAAGTTACTATATCTAAATTACACATGGACAAAGAGTGAGCTTTATTAAACCAGACTCATAAAAGTAAGGATTATGCTTCTCCAGGTTCATAAAATATAATTCCAAGGCTCTGAGGAAAATAATCTTATGTCAGTCCCAGGGAACTTTTCTCCCCAAGAGTTGGTTGGTCACTTTCTGTGGAAGAAAAGAAAGGCAGGAAAGAAGTTAGGTACTCTTGCCACTCCGTACCCCAGCCACGTCGTTGAAGAGAACTAGTGTACTTCTACCCAAATCTTGTTTTACTCAGAAACTTGTTTTACTAGTTTGCGGAAACTGTGGTAATTATACAAACAATACTTCTTGAAATATTTGAGAAAGGTGGTCTATAATCACTATTATTTCTATATGGGTATAGATAATCTATAATCCTGATAGACTAATCGATCCACCAGTTCACAAATATGAGAGGCCTGGTCTTGCGGTGCGACACACAAGATAGGCTGCTCAGTGCCAGGGGCCTCCCCTCCTGAGACAGCTGGCCTGGGCTTGAGGGCGAGCTCCAGAAGCAGTTCCAATTCCACATCAGTCTGGCATGAACGGGTCTTTGGTTTCTGACCTTCAGAATTCTCTGGCGTATGCTGAGTAGGTTGGGGAGGAAACAGGGAAGGATATGGCCCTTCAGGCACAGCAGCCAGTCTAGTTTCTCAGGGAATTAATTAATAGCAAGACCTCTGCCCTGTCAGGTTCTTGGACTTAACACCACTGATTCCACTAGGGCTATGGGCAGGAAATGGTGGCAGCTTGAAGGCTTCTGACCACCCAAGATGACAACTCTTATGTCACACTCAGACATTTTCCAGTTCATTAGAACAGTTCTAGAGGTATCTGACTTACCCATGAGGGACATAAAATCATCATTTGGGACTCTAGAATGAAAACCTGACAATTCTGATAGATTTGGACATTTCCATCATGATGCCTAAATTGACTCCTATGTGTGAAATTTGGTTTCATTCCAAATGCACGCATGGAAAGAGCCTTACACAATTAAGGCTGAGGAGCTAAACCTGACTTGAAATCTAATCACGGGTGCCTTATCTTCCAAATTTCAGCGCTTGTACAATACATTTTGAGCTTAAGTTCACTCCTCCAATGTGGTTAACTCTCAGTGAGTACTCAAACAGGTCAGAGGTATTCCTCTCAATTTCTCTTTCCCCTGATAAACTGGATACATCACGCTATAGAAAGAGGACCGGCTGACCTTTTTATACAGCTGGGCTCGCAGCCGGTATGACTTATATTCTGATCTCCTCTTCTCCTCTTCTCTCTTTTTCTGTACTTCTGGAAGCTGCTCATAAATCCTTAGAAATGGCATAGTGAAAAGACAGAAAGCAGTGAGGTTACCAAGGTACAGAGGCACATGATCTTTTCTCAGCACACCTCCCTAAGCTCTACTGCTCTTCAGGTATTTAGTCCCTCATAGACAGGCCTGGGCCCCTGTTAGACACTTGGACACAGGGCATCCTAGCCTGAGTGCTCATGATCCGGAAGGGGAGACAGATAAATAAAAACATAATGAAACCTTCCTAATTGTGGTTACTTCTGGGAAAAGAGTGGGATAAATGGGATGTAGGTGAACTTCTGCTGTCCACTCTACACACAAAAATGTATTTATTGTTTCAACATAAGATAATGAACGGGTATTACTACTATATTTTTAAACTCAAGGAAAATAATGGAAAGGAAAAGTACTATAATAGTCATATCTACAAAATGCTACACAGAGTTACAGAAGAAGAAACTTATTCAGGGAAGGCTTCAGAGAGGAGATTAGGCTTGAATGGGTCTTGAAGAATAGTTAGGAGCAGACAGGGAATAGGAGAAGAGAGAGAGAGGACACCTAAATTAGGGAAATGTGAATACTGGTAAGAATGGAGACAAGGCTTCATAGAGAGGAGTGTAGGGGAACAGGTGGAAAGCAGGTGAGGTGGGGGTGATGGGAAAAGATGATGAGTAACACAAGCTCCAGAGACACAATCCTCGACATGATCCAGTTGAAGGAGTACTGGATCGGGAGCCCAAACTCCGGGCTCTAACTCCAGGTCTGACCTTAACTTGATGGATTACTTTCCTTCTCTGGGTTGAGTTTCCTAAAAATTAAGGGTGAACTAGATGATATTTAACATCCCATTAAATTCCATGTTTCTTAGGTGGAAGTGGAGCACTTCCTTGAAAAGGGGCCATACAAGAAATGAAATTCAATAGAACCACTCTAATGCAAATGCACAGTTTAAAATCCAAGATCCTCTCCAGAAGATGGGTACTTAATCTACACCCACAAGCATGTTTATGATTGAAAGCATTGATAACCTTACAGAAGATGCCCTGCCTGTCTTCCTGTATTCAAGTTTCATAGTCCCTTACAGCAAGGACACCTCTTGCTGAGGTAAGAGTGTAATTAACTGACTCACAATGAACGCTGTATAATTTTGCCTAATTAAATTCTGTGACAGAGTTAGAATGAAGCAAAGGTTCTCAAATTTTTTGGACCTAGGATCCCTTTACACTCTAAAAGTTGAGGAGCCCAATGTAGATTTCATCTATTATGCCATATTAAAAATTAAAACTAAAAAAAAAAATTTTTTTTTTCCCTTTTTGTCTTTTTTCATGACCGGCAACGGATCGCAACCCTCAGTGTCACACCCGTACCGGCCCGGGACCGGCAACGGGATCGCAACCCTAGGTGTTGCTCCCTGCACCTCGCTCAGCCAGTGAGCAGGAACCGGTCTGTATGTGGGATCCGAACCCTTGGTGGGAGCGCCACCGCGCTTCCCAAGCGGCGCACTGTAGCAGTGCGCCACCGGGCCGGCCCCTAAAACTAAAAATTAAAAAAATTTTCTTAATTTACTAAAAAATAATAATAAGACTGTTACATGCTAACATAAATAACCTATGTTCTTAAAATAAAAAATAAAGATGTTTTCCAAAACAAAAACATTCTTTTTTTTAAAGTGAGAAGAGTGGCACTGATTTACTTTTTTTTTTTTTTTGTTGTTGCAGTGTTTTGGTTTAATAGAAGATAGCTGGATTCTTATATCTGCTTCTGTATTAAGTCTGTTGTTATATAATGCTCTGGTTATAGTATACATTTAAAAAAATCCAGCTTAGGCATATACATAGTCGGAAAATAGCTGAGTAATCTAATATTCTTTTCAGACAACTATTGATCTTCTTTGATACCAAAACTTGACAAGTGGTAGTTTCTTAAAAATTAGTTGCAAGGGGATATCTGAAATCACATTGATAAACCTTTTATACTCTCTTACATAAAAATCTATCAGTCTATCTTGCACTTTGAATGGATCTTTTATCCATGCCTGATTTTGTAACGTCATGCAAAAATCATTTGGAAAATCCTGGTCCAGTCAGTTAGGCAGATCTTCCAAATGTTGACAAATTTATATTATATGAAAAACATCGCATTTGTTAACGTCACTGCTGATCTCTCCAGAAAAGTCTAAGTACTGGGAAGTTGTCAAACTCATGATGAATACAAGTCTTCTAGACTTCTATTCTCTGCTTGAAAGCACAAATTTTCTTTTTTGCAACAAATACTGTCAGCTGTTTTCCTTGAAGTGACAGACTCATTTCTTTATTTTTAAGAAAATGTCTGTCATATACCTAAATTGGAATAATCAGTTTATCTGTCAGTTATTCTTTCAAGTAAAAGTCATGTTCACAAAAAAGGCAGCTAGGGGCTGGCCCCGTGGCTCACTCAGGGGAGTGCGGCACTGGTAGAGCCAAGGCCGTGGGTTCGGATCCTATATAGGGACGGCCGGTGCACTCACTGGCTGAGTGTGGTGCGGACCACACTGTACAGAGGGTTGCGATCCCCTTACTGGTCAAAAAACAAAAAAAAACAAAAAACACAGCTAGTTCAGCTCACTACACAAACAAGGACATAAGTGCTTTTCCTCGAAACAGTCGTTGTATTTTGGTATGCAGCAGAAGTATTTTATGTGTACTTCTGTGACACTGCTGGCAGATGGCTGTGAAGAATACAATGCCTACTAGACTAGTATGGTTTGGTGCCACCTTCTGGAATAGTGCTAAGGCCCCAGCAGTTTTACTCCCCCTACTACCTCATTGCTTTTGCATCATCAGTGCAAATGTCAACACAGTGAAAAGGCACATAATGTTCTAGTATTATTTTGAAATTAGTTTTGATCTTGCAAACCCCTGAAAGGGTCTCAGCAACTTCCAGGGGCCCATGGACCACGTTCTGAGAACCACTGGATTAAAGCATCCCTTTGTATTATCTATAAGGAAAGGGTTTACTAAAGAGAGAGTAAAAACAAGATTTCAAGAGGAATACTTAAATTTTATAAGATAGTGTTTTCAAGAACCATCATTCTGAAGAAGCATGATGCCAATTATAAAAGTGTTCTTATTAAAGCAAGTCTCCAATGAACCCCTAAAAAGTAATACTTAACCTAGTAATTCCATGGCATGCTCATGATCAATAATATGCATAATCTTAATTAATTAATTAATGAGTGGTTAATGCTTGCAATGGCACAAAATTCAAAAAATATAAAAATGTGAAAAATTAGTCTCTTTCCTACCTCTGTACTCCAGCTACTCAGTCCTTTCTCCCAAAGGCAACCACTATTACCAGTTTTTTGTCTTCCAGAAATACTCAATGCATATAAAAGTATACACATCTATGTAAGCACAAATACATCTTTGTGAAGACCACAAATGGTAACAGTGTACATATGCTTCTGAAACTTAATTTTTTTTTTAAGCTTAACTTAATGTGTCTTAGAGAATACTCCATTATTTCTCTCTATTGGATAAATTCCTAGAACTGGGATTGCCATGACAAAGGGTATAGCTAGCCTCAATACATATTTAATTTTATTTCAAAATATTCTTTATTTATATTTAGGTTTCTAATAAAGATGAGCCTAAGGCATGCAAATAAGTGGGAATTCTTTTCCTCTTTTGTAATATGAGTCATTCATAGCATGATCTACTATTTTTCTTTTCTCTTTCAGTGCCTTGAGAAACTACTTTTACAACTTAATTTCTCATAATGTTTTAATTTGAGAATAATGCCTTTATTTTGGGGGACAAGGCAGAGATCCTGACCACTTGGTGGCTTGATTTATACTTTTATAATTACTCTTGTTTATTTGGCCTTACCTTTTGGACCTCTGAATCATTTCCTTCTTTCCAATAGGCTTGTTCTTCTGGGAAGCCAGGAAAACTAAGCAAGAGAAGAAGGGGTTTTCAGTGGATAGTGACTTAATAAGGAAGGTGTGGCACTCAAGAGCTGTGAGAGGGAGCTTGCAGGACTTTGTGCCCCTACTCTGAACTGGCAATACTGGGGAGTGAGCAATGACCATGGCCAGGGTTAGACTAGGTTGACTGTGATAGCAGCATAAGGCCCCTAAAGACATAACACTCTGGCACAGACTAGACAGTTTGAATTGAAAAACTGACCAGGTCATAGGTAAGGTTGTGGTGAAAGCATTAGGTAGTACTGTATAGTTTTCACAGCTTTCATATATTATTTTATTGAGATTTTGTGCTTAGCATAATCATTAAGAGCACAGACGCTGGAGCCAGCCCACCTGGGTTCAAATCTCTAGCTCTTTCACTTATTAGGTGTGTAATCTTCAGCAAGGTGCTTAATTTCTCACAGCAAAACAGGGATATTAATAGTATTTAGAGAGCATTAAATGAGAACAGTGCCTGGGCAAGACATAAGGGCTATATGTGTTTATTATTGTTATTGCTGTTGTTGTTATTGCCACCCTAAGAGGTAGGCAAGCCTGAAATCAGCCCCATCTTTAAATAAAAAAGTTCTACTTTTGGAACTAACTTGCTCGTGGAAACAGAGTTGGTTTATAAAAGAGCCATTCTCACTGCACACTCTTGTTTTTGAGATGCAGTGACAGGGCCAGAGTAACTGGGCTTATTTGGATTGTGGAAGTGCTGAGAGCTAAGTTGGGCAAGTTCCACTAGCTAAGGGGATTTGAGTCTTGGCCGGCAAAAAGTCACTTTCTGTCCACTTAACTGGCCCGGCATTTAGCAATGCCCCATAGCACAGTAGCAGGCCTTGCCCTCTCTCCTCCACTAATAGGAGAGTGAACAAGCAAGGTGTACCTCTTTTGGGCAGCGTGTGCATGGGATTCCGGCAGCCCTGCCATTCTCTCACGGTGTTGAATAGAGCATCCCGCTCACTCTGTAACATGTTCTGCAGCTTCCTCTCCTGGACTATTAACTTCAGGCGCTTTACCCGCTCCCCAGAGCGGGAGATGAAGTCAGGTCTGTGAAGCTGAAGTGATTCCTAAGGAGAAGCCCCAACCTTACATTAATGATGCAGTCTCTTCTCTCCAAGTGTCTAGAAAAATAACACCTGTCAAACAGGTTTAGAGAGCCTATTTCTAATGCTCAGAAAATATCTGAAGAATACTCTGACCCCTCTCTGTGGGAGAGAGCTCCAGCAGGGAAACCAGAGGGATCAAAGAAATGCCTTTGGAATAAGCCAAGAGCTTATTATAACGGCAATTACAACTCTCCCAAATGTCCACGGGACAGCCCATCATGCTATTTTAAATTTCTCTTCAAACAAATACATCATTAAATAAAATTTCCTTTAGTCCCCAAGGGACATACCAGCAGATAATTGGTGCCTTTGAAATCCTGTGTTAAGCAGGAACTGGCACACAATGGAGAAACAAATACAAGGCTGACACAGACATCAGGCCTTTGGGTAGATACTCCACGTGTGGGTATCTGCAAACCCCATGAGCAGTGCCACAACATCCTCCCTCCTACTGCCTTGTTAACGTGTCCTGGGGGTGACACACCATTTAGAATGGTTAAGGGTAAGGCAGACTTTGATTAGCAATGAGAAACCAAGCCCTTACAGAGGGAAAACAGGTGAACTGTGAAGGTGCTAGAAGACAGAGTCACGTGACCAAACCTTAGCACACTAAGTCACAGATGTAACTTTTTTGTGTCTAGCCCTTGTTCCCCCTAAATATATAGCTAAAGTTAACATATTGTCATTGCACCTGTAGAGTTGCTCTCACAAATGGCCTCAGTGGGTCTCTGCCATCATCTCTGCCTGGGCCTGCTGATGCCCCCTGACCGTCCATGCGCTGTCCCTGCCAGTTCTGTTCCCGCAGTGGCTCCCTCCAGGGTTTGGTTTTGGTTATTGGTTCAAACCAGGAGATACCAGGGCCATAAATCTTGGGCAGGTTTTCCTTCTTAGATCCAGATTTCACATTTTCCACAGGAACAAACCATGAAACTCCTACAGGAAATATTTTTAAGAAGGAAAAAATATTTTTCATGTTTTACAGCCTCACCCAGCTATCATCAAAGACACGTGTAAAATAAAGACTCACAGGGGACTCAGCTGTCAGAGGCCACCCTTGAGTCTGGCTCAATTGCAGGTATGACTCTGTAATTGTAGTGTCAGATATTTTGAAAATTTGCCAAGGTGGTGGCTGGGGTAAGTGGGGTCAACATAGAGTCATTCAGACACAAAGAATCTTAGCATTGCAAGAGACTTGAAATTCACTAGTTTTTCTGCTATAAAACCTGGAATTAAAAACTGACCTTCACAGGAATTCTGCTTGTTCTTCCTTAACTTTCTGTCCCCAGGATAACTGATAAAGAGCATTTTCTCTTCAATTTTTTCTTCTGACCAAGAAGTAGTCACATCACTGTCCTCTTCTAATCTAGCTTCGCTAGAACTTGGAGTTGGGAAAGTCATCCCAACATCTCGAGTATGTTTTTTGGCACCATTCACAATCTCCAAGTTACCTAAGGGGGAAGATCACAAATGAACAGCCTTGAGGCTTAGCTGACAGGTTTATTCAAGTCAGTAGGTGAAGCCTTTTTAATCCTTCAAAAACATACTGCCTTTGTTTAGTGGGGAGGAATGGGAAGAGACAGGAAGAGAGGGAAGGGTGGGGGGAAATGGAGAGAAGCAGAGTGAGAGAGGGAGGGAGGGAAGAAGAGGGAGAGAAAGACAGCAAACACTTATAGTCCTATCGGCAGTCATCCAAATAAGAAAGATGCTGGTAGAGGTAAAGACTTGAGGAGGAGAAAAATATCAAAAGGAAAGTTTATTTTTGTTTTATGAAATCAAAAGTCGTACAAAGGCATAAAATGAAAGGCCCCCTTCCCACTCCTGTTCTCCATTCACTCTGTTCACAACCCCATATGAGTCCAGAGAATTTTCTTGTTGCACATTCAAGCAATTCTCTTCCCTCCTTTATTTTATTTAAAAAAAAAAATATATAGGCCGGGGTTTGATCCCTGTACCTTTTTGCAGCAGTTAGCTGCAAAAAGAAAAAAAACAAAAACATGTAGTAGTATGCTATACACTGCTCTGTATCTTGATTTTTCTTTTAAATTATATATCTTGCAGATCTTTCCATATTAGTAAAAAAAAAAAAAAGAGCTTCCTCATTCTATGTAGGATTTCATTATATGGGTGTACAATAATTTATTTAATCATTTAACTATTGACGAACATCTAAACTGATTTTAATTTTCTGCTATAACAAATAATACTTCAATGTCTGATTTTGTACACTTGTCATTTTGCCCATATCCAAATATATCTATAGGCTAAATTCCACATATGCACAGTAAATCTATAGGATAAATTCCAAAAGTGAATATGCTGGGTCAAAGTAATTTTGATAGGAATGGCCAAATTGCCTTTCACAGGGGTTGTACCAACTTATACTCTCACTAAAATGTACAAGGGTACCCATTTCTCTACACTCTTCCCCTCAAACTTGCCATCAAATTTAGATCTTGCCAATCTGAGAGGTGAAAAATGGCATTTGGATATAGTTTTAACCTTCATATCCTTTATTATGAGTGAGGTTGAATATTTTATATGCTTAAGAACCATTTGTATTTCAATGGAAAAGTTTAAATTCAAGTAATTTACCTGCTTGTACACCCTTGTTTAACATGTGCACATTTTGATTGTTGTAAAGGGTAGAGTTCCAGCTCAAGAAACTACTGGCAGAAGATGAAATAGATTCAGAGGAAATCATATGATTTGCCACCTGCAAAAAAAAAAAAAAGAAACATGGTTATCATTACCTGCAATCAATGGCACAGTTATTCACAGGATAAGCAAGCCTACAAGTCCTCAAAAGCCATTTCCAATCCAATTGAAATTGTTGAGATGCAGTTGGAGGAAGCCTGCAACAATGTGAACATGCTGCCATGCTCTCCGTGATGTTGTAGCTGGATAGGGCCTGAGCTGTTACAAGACAGTAAGACAAAAAAACTCTGGGTGTATTTTTCAGGGCTTGAAAAAACCCTGGGGAGGATGCCAGCCAAATATCAGCCTGGTGCATGTTCAGAATGAAATTCTGAACTAACACCTGCATATAATTTTGATGTGAGATAAAGAGGACTGGGGATAGTTAAAGAAAGTGATGAGCTGCAGAGAGCACTTTTCAATAAGAGCGCACTGAGACACTTACACAAGGACAAGTGCCAAAGAGTTGCAAGGCCCCATGAGAAGTGCTGAATAACTGAAGTATTGCAGAAAGCATTAAAGAGCCCAAAGGCCTTTTCTGTTATATTCAGGGCAAGTTCTAGAGCAATGAAGGGCAAGTTCAGGGATTGAAGCTGATGGTGACAAAAAGATGATCAAAATATAGTTGAACAAATGTAGTATAAAATAGTATTTCTTAAAGTTGCTCATCATAAAAATATACTGGAGGGGGACATAACCCAGAACAATAAACTGGAATCTCTAGGGGAGGGATTTAGGCATCTATACGTTGAATAAATGCCAGATGATTCTCTACTTAAGCAAGTTTGGTAGAGGTGAATTGAAACCCAAGTCAGGAGAGGAAACAGAGTATCTTCTCCCTTGAACTAGATAAACTATATTCCAGGGCCATAAGGAGATGCAACAGAAACCTGGAGAAGAGGAGATATAGTAGACATTTGGAGACAGGAAATGTTTTGATTTTCAGAAAGGCAAGCATTGCAGACTGGTGGGTTAAATACTAATGACCTGTAAAATTCAGGATGAATCACCAATCTGACAATTTGCAAGCATCAGGAGGTCAAAGAAAAGATTAGCAAATTTCAGACAGGGCTCAGTAAGGCAGGGAGAACAAGCCTTGCCAAGTTAGGCTTGTTTTCCTTAGTAGATATGGTCACGTGACCGGCAGACCAAAAGGATGTATAGTAGAGTACACCTAGATTTAAAATGACAAAACATCTCATGGCATCTTTGAGGGCATAATGGAGTTATATGGGTTGAAGGAAAATATAAGTTGATAGAACCATAATTGATTGAACCAACCTTATCCAAATATTATTGTCAATACACAGAGAGACCTTTATTGAGTGGTACATCTTGCATTGGACAACAGATATTTATTAAGCGCCTACTGTGTGCCAGTCACTGGGTTTGGCTCTGGTTATTCCTTCTTAACATTTTATATATCAGTCTTGGAGATAAAGAAAGCAGGAGAATTTCCATAAAATACACATCTGGGAGTGCCTGAATGGCTGTCAGGATCCCAAATAACAACAGTAATGACAGGCCAAATCAAACAAGAGGATGTTTTGTAGGGATAATGGTAAAGTCCTGAATATTAGGCAGGAAGAATGGCAGCAACTTTGATGCAGTAGAAAAAGCTCTAGATCTGGAATCCAAAGACCTAATGCAGTCTCAGATCTTCCCTCTACTAGCTGTCTCTTCTTGAGCAAGCCACTACCTCTTTGTGCCATTTTCCCCACCTAGAAAAGGGAACAATATCTGCATTTCTGAAACTACAGAAGTTTTAGAAAAAATGAATGATTTCAATGGTAAACTGTAAAAAACTAATATAAAACTATGAGACTACTATGAGGCCAAAAAAAACCTCAACGTGTACAAGTCCAGAAAGGACAGTGAGGAAGATGTGACTGATGGGCAATACACTGCATCTTCTCGGTAGCTGTGAAACAGAGGAAGAAAGCACTTTACGTACTGAAATGCACTGACTTTCAAAGTGTGCTGCCGTTATTGTGAAAAAGGGTAGAAAACATAAGTAGGTGTTTGTTTTTTTATGTATAAAGTATCTCTGAAATAAAAGAATCTAGATTGGAAATGAAGAAATAAAACTTTTTATTTGCAAATGACACGATCCTGTCTGTAGAAAATACGAAAGAATCCACAAAGTAATAGAACTAATAAACAAGTTTAGTCAGGTTTAGAATATAAGATGAATAAGATAAAAAAATCAATTGCATTTCTATATCCTAGCAATGAACAACCTGCAAATAAAATTAAGGAAACAATCCCATCCACAACAGCATCAAACAGAATAAAATATTTAGGAATAAAGTTAACAACACGAGTGGAAGGTTTGCACACTGAAAACTGCAAAACATTGCTGGGAGAAATTAAAGACCTAAATAAATGGCAAGACATTCCACGTACATAAATTGGAAGACTCAAAATTGTTAGGATGGCAATTCTCCCCAAATTAATCTATAGATTCTGCACAATCTGTATAAAAATCCTAGCAAGATTTTTTGAAAAAATTTATAAGGTGATCTCAAATTCATATGGAAATTCAAAGGACTACAAAAGCCAAAAATTATAGAAAAAGAACAAATATGGAAGACTTCTATTTCCTGATTTCAAAACTTATAATGCTACAGTAACCAAGACATTGTGGTATTGGCATAAGAACAGACATATACACATCAATCAACAGAACAGAACTGAGAGTCCTGTTGGACTCAAAATGGTCAATTGATTTTCAACAAACATGCCAAAGCAACTCAATAGAGAAAAGAATAGTCTTTTAATCCAATGATGCTGGGACAATGGGATATCCATATGCAAAAAGATGAATTTAGATATACCATAACAAAAATGGACTCAAAATGGATCACTGACCTAAATATAAGAATTAAAACTATAAAACTTTTAAAAGAAAACATAGGAGAAAATCTTAGTGACTTTGGTTATGCAAGGAGTTCTTAGATATAACTACTATAACTAAAACATGAACTATAAAATAAAAACATTTCAAACTGGACTTTATCATTATTAAAAACCATTTGCACTTCAAAAGACTTTCAAAATAAAGAGTAAAGCCACAGACTGGGAGAAATTATTGCAAATCATACATCTGATGCATGACTTGTAACCAGAATTTATAAAGAATTCAAACAATTCAGTAGCAAGACAACCTAATTTAAAAATGGGCAAAAGATTTGAAGAGACATTTCACTAAAGAAGATATGAGCAGCTGATAAGCACTTGAAAAGATGTTTTAATATCATCAGTCATTAGGAAAATTCAAATTAAAATCACAATGACATATCACTTCATACCACTAGGATGGCTATAACAAAAAGATGGACACTAGCAAATATTGACAAGGATGTGAAGAAACTGGAGCCCTCACACATTTCAGGTGGGAATGTAAAATGATACAGCCACTTTGGAAAACATTCTGGCAGTTTCTTAAAAAGTTTATAAACATAAACTTACCGTATAACCCAGAAATTTTACTCCTAGGTAAATACCCAAAAGAAATTAAAATGTATGTTCACACAAAACACTTTTGCACAAATGTTCACAGCAACATTCATATTATCCAAAAAATGAAACAATCCAAATGTGTATCAACTGATAAACAAAATGTGGTATATCCATACAATGGGATATTATTCAGCAATAGAAAGGAACTACTAATACATACAACACAGAGGAACCTTGAAATTAATCAAGAGAAGCCAGATGTAAAAGACCACATATTACGATTTTATTTATATTAAATGTCCAGAAAAGACAGAGGCAGGTTAGTGGTTACCTGGGGCTGGGAACACAGATTCTTTGCAAATAGGTACAAAAGACCTTTATGGGGTGACAGAAATGTTCTAAAACTGGACTGTGGTGATGAGAAGGAGTAGGAAGGACACTCTGTATCAAATATTCTTTCATACATTTTGAATCCAGAACCATGTGGTTGTATTAGAAGTTTAAGAAATGAGAATAAACAAAACAAAAACTTGTGGGGAAGGGTGTGGAAATAGAGTTCAACAGTGAGTTCAACAGAAGTAAAACGTGTCAGGCCACAGAAGTATTCTAGCTGTTGTGAAGGTGATAAACCAGCACTGTCAACATGCTCACATGCTTAAAGGGACATGTTTAAAAATAGGATATCAACAGAGACTTAGGAAATCTGCCAAATTCAGAAAGCGGGGTGGGAACCATGACCTGTGTGGAACAGTTCGAAGAGTTAAGACCTGAGAGAAGACGCTTCAGGGCAGGAAGTGGGGGCCCAAGAGAGAGAAGACTAGATCTATTTCTGTGCCCTGAGAGTAGTTCCAGAAACAGCCAGGAATTCCAAAATGATCACATTTTGGATCTTTATAAATTAAAACCTTTGATAACTGGAGCCTTAGGCAAATGAAACGAGCTGCCCCATGAGCAGTGAGTGAGTGGTGTAGCTGCTGAAGCAGAGGCTGGCATGTCTTCTGATGCAGATGCAGCAGAAGTAGTGATGTGATGGGAGTGGGTAGGACCATAGGACTCCTATGGTCTCTTCCCAGCCTGAGACTCTCCTAAACCTCCTGCACTTCCAAAGTATACAACCAGTCATGGTATGCACCACGGGGGGTGTGAAAAAACACACTTTTACATTGGATTAAGTGATGAGCCTCGGTATGTGTGTTTCTGTTTTTAGTTCAAATCCTTCTTGCTGATTAATTCCGGACTATAAAAAGGTAAATATTTAAAAATAGAAAGTAATCTAAAAATAAATCCCCTCTCAACAAAATACATTTATTCAGCCCTCTAGGATGGACAAAACAAAACAAAAAAAAAGTATTTGCTAGGATGTGGAAAAATTGGAACCTTCATACATTGCTGGCAGGGATGTAAAATGGTGTAGGAGCTTTGGAAAACAGTTTGGCAGTTCCTCAAATGGTTAAATGTAGTTATCATATGATTGGGCAATTCTACTCCTAGGTATATACCCAAGAGAAATGAAAACATGTGTCCACACAAAAACTTGTACATGAATGTTCATAGCAG